TTTTTTTTTTTTTTTTAATCCAGTCGCTTCTGTAGTGGAAACTCATTAGCATTGTGATAATAAGAGATGAGAGAGGTTGCCAGTGTCAGCACATACAGTCGGAGTTTTAATGGTCATAACTGGATTCTGGTGCAAGTGCACGTGTGTGCACGTCTGTGAAGGCATCTTCAATTTCATTACCTCCCTCACTCCGCCCCAGCAAACTGCCCTCAGGTTAACTCTTCTGTAATCCTTTGCTTTATCGAAAGCGTGTTAAATTATTAAAAACGTTTAAAGGTGAGTAAAACAAACAGGTCGTCATTAAATCTGATCCCAAACTTTGAACTAAACTCAGTGAAATAACAGCAGTTTGTTAAAAGAACAATGACATTTATCCTCACTTTACTATTTTTAACACTCTTTTAAGCACAAAACTTTTTTGTGTTTTTTTCAATGACTCGATTAAAGGGTAACTCAATAAAAAATAGATTTTTTTAATGAAAATAACAATTGATTCCTCTCCACATCCTTTGTTTGAGTCCAAAGTAGTAGGTTGTAAGTCAGACAGTTCTGTTTCCAGTGGAGAATTTCGTCTTGTGGAAATTCAGAGGAAGATGTTTTTCAATCATTGTTTTGGACAGTTGAAGGTCAGGTCGTCTACCAGCTGTTCTCTGCCGTGAGCTGATCAAATAAAGAGCAACGCAGCTGAAGACTTGACAAAGTTATAATGATCAAACTGCCCAAAGAGAGACGTCCTAACACGAAACACTTATTAAAATTTGATCCATTTTAAAATTGTAACGTCTGTCCTGCTCTGACCTTTCTCGACCTCCTAGCGCACAGTGAATTATTGATGTGTTTTTAGTGAAGGTGCAGTTTAGCTGACGTCTACAAAACATTTGGGTGAGTCAGACAACAGCAGCAGACTTAGGAATTGTTAGCTTGTTTTTAATGCAGACCTAATACTACTACTACTAATAAATGTTATTAATTAGTTTTGTCATAACTTTCTATTATTTTTTAATTTCAAATATTTTTGTATTCATATAACATCAATAATAATAAAATACAAATAATATTAATAGATACTAATACTAATAACATGATTTATAATTTATTATTTTATAATAATTATTAAAATATTTAGTTAAAGTTTCAATATTAGAAGATTTAAAAAATATAATTGTTATGATAAAACGTCCACAGCTGCAGAAGGGGGCGCTGCAGTGGGTGTAATTATTGCCATATCAACAAAGTCTCTTCAGTACATAAACACTTCTGTTCAGACCAGGTGACATCATCGTCTGTCCTCTCTTCCAGGTGACCTCTGACCCCTGGCTGATTTGATGCTGATTTTTCTTCTTGTAATTTTACTTCATATGAAGTGAGAACCTTGAAGTGGCTCGAATTCTTCTTCTGTGAAACAGTCCAGTGGATAAAACGATTCCAGGTCAAGGATCAGGGGACATTTCATTTTTTTAGAAATCGTTTCCCCTCAAGGTCCCACCACCGACTCATGCAGCTCGTCTGTACCAAGGACCAGGTTCTGTGAACTGTTGGTCTGGTTCTGTTGAACTGAGTCGGCTAAAGACCAGCACTTGGACGACGCTGTGGTGGCTTCCCTATTCAGCAGGCTGGGCGTGGCATTAAAATGCCTGAACTGCATGACTTTCCCCCCCTGAGGGGTGAGGGAGGCCCTGACCTGGGTTTCGGTGGACCTGCAGACCCGGCTCAAATTCAACACAGCATCCTGGAGGAGCAGGTGGAGCTGTGGTGGTTCAGAGATCCAGGGAAGTCTCTGCTCTGCTACTGCGTGGCCGTTCTTCTCATTCTGGGCTGTGGCCTGGGGGGTGTCGGACTCCTCTCCACCACCACCAGCGTCTCGAGTGAATGGCGGCTGGGCACGGGCACCGCCCTCT